CAATGCATTTTATTTGTTGACTGTTCACACCACACATGGATGGTTTCAGATTATGTGACCTGTTACCACTTGCACAGCTGACAATGTAGAACCAGTACTCCTGGATCCTGGACTTTTCAACAATCAGTGAGATGTAAAGCAGCAGAAACATTCAATAAAAGAGGTTATAAATAAAGGTTCAGTGTGTAATATTTAGGAGGATCTATTGACAGAAATGCAATATAATATACATAACTGTTTTCAGTGGTGTATAAAGACCTTACATAATGAACCTTATGGTTTTTTTTACCTTGAGAATGAGTCATTTCTATCTACATAACCGCGGATCCTCTTACATGGACATTGTATATATGCTCTCATAATGCTAATCCAACACATCTTTGTAGTAGCATGCACGCTGATTCCACATTCCAACTTAAGAGCACATGAACACACACTGAAGTAGGAACGACTTCACAACTCTGGAAATAGGACCACCCGAGCAGCATGTGAATGCACTGTGAGCAGCTGATTGCAATTTGCAACCCTCACCGCTAGATACCACTAAAACATAGAGTACCTTTCAAAACCCACATAACAAAGTGGAGTAGAAAAACAAAACACACAAACAAAACAATCAGGTTTTAAACAAAAATAGAAAACAAAACAAGAGAACAGTTGAAATAGATTAAAACAAGAAAGAGATAAAAACCAAGGAGTGGTGGCCTTGGGAGCCCCACTGCAAATGCACTCTGTCCCCTTTAGTTTTCAGCCGGGCCTCTGGAACAGACAACAGACCTCTGCCAGGAACTCAAAATACATTCCTGTGTGTACAGTACCAAATGGTCAGATATATAGCAGGCGAGAGGCCATGAAGAGCCTTAAAAGTAATCAGTAAAATTTTAAAATCTATTTTAAAACATCCTGGGAGCCAGTGTAAATAGGCTAAAACTGGAGTGATGTGATCCCGTTTCTTTGTTCTGGTTAAAAGCCTGGCAGCTGCGTTCACCAGTCTGGAGTAGATCAATAGTTTTTTGTGTCAAGCCAGTAAAAAGGCTGTTGCAGTAATCCAGGCATGATGAGATGAAAAAAGCAGCCCAGCCTCCAAACAGCATTTCGAGTCTGATGCTGTATTCCTATATAAAGATACTATTCTTTTCTCAAATGAATCACATGTAACTGAAAGTAGCTTTTCTGAAACAGAGAGTCTTTGACAGCAAGTGCAGAAGACTGCTGCTGAAAATTAACCAGACCTTCATTTCTCCTTCATACTCCTTAACTCTTGCTCCTGTCATGCTGTAAATGTCTGTTTTGAGTGCTTAAACAGCACTTGTGGGGGACCAAACACATAATATAGCTACTATAACTAAGATGCTCTCCTGCAATCAGCCACTGTGGATCTTCATGCTTCATCTTTAAAAGAGATGATCTCAGCCTTAATCTTGTCTTTCAGTGTCGTTTTCACAGCAGCACAGCAAAGATTGTAAAAATCAATCTGATCCCAACATGTAAGACACCATAGTGTAGTTGTGCTCAGTTGCCCACATCCAGCAGCATAGTGACAAATCTTCTTTTAATATGTCAAAAGAGTGTAATCTGATTGTGTTTGTGGACCAGCACCACAAACATCGAGAGAATCCTATTGATCCTAGCATGGGCACTCATGGAAATCAAACACTGAGTCCAGCATCTTTCAATCAGGTAGTTACAATCGTTATCTAGTTTTTATTAACACACAGACAGACAGAAATACACACACACACACACTTAAACAGCTAAATCCAAGACAAACAATATGCTACACACTCCTCTGATCCATATTGTGTGTGCATGAGCACACGCAGCAACTGTTCTAACCTGGACGTACAGATTTCTCCGTTCTCTCCCTTTGCTGTCACTATCTCGTGTGCTCGGATCAAATCGATTTTTACCTCGAGATACAATTGCAGCTCAGAGTGAATTTAAGACATACGCGGGTATTTGTGACCTTTTAGTCTTCTGTTTCAGCCAGAGTGCCGACCTTTTTCCTCCACAGTCAGAGGAGCGTTTCAAGAACACACCCTTCATTTGAACACAACTTGTTCGCTGTGAGTCAATTTGTGTGTGCTGAGTAAGCAGCTGATAACCCTGCAAGGGTAATTAAAGGTAAATTGATTTAAGTCTTGTGAAGCCACTGTGAAACTAGCAAAGCAGTTAAAGGCAAGGCCAATAAACATGAACCATGGAGACATTGAGACATGTGGCTCAAGCCCTATTTGACGGCCAGTGAACTGCTGTGCAGTCGTTATTCTGGTGCTGGAGTAAGAAACTGCAAAGCGTCCAAAAATGTTTTCTTAGGAGCAATTAGTTAATCAGTCAATCTAATAATTAATCTATCGGTTACATTTGATAGAATGCATTTTTATAACAGTAGAAAAGTAGGGCTATTAATCAGCAGATTTCAGCAGCTACGCACACATATCTAAACAACAAAATAAGAGCACTAAATGCAACTATTTACCAAGTGGTCAACTGGGCGGAGACTGACTTGTGAACACACTGATAAGTTGTAGAATATTTCGGTCAGTGTAAACAGAAGATAAAGGGAGACTGATTAAGTGATTTGTAAATGGGGGGTTTCTGATTAGACACGGTAACAGGAATGTGATACTGTGATATTTTCTCTGTCATGTTGTATTGTAATAGACAACACTACAGTTCTACAAGCATGTATACTGTATAATACAATCCAATAAAATGCACCATTTGGATATGATTAAACTCAATGTATTTCCACACGCACAGTTTCATTTATTGTGACTGTATTGTACAGTATGCACAAATAATGTAGATATGTACACATATATAAACGGTATGTTGTGGTGGTCATTTGTGCTAAAGTCACTGAAGAAGAAGAACAACAAAGACAATCATCTTAATTTATTCAGTCATATATATATTATATATCTGTGAGCCAACAATGAGTTTTCACATTGTAGCTTTTTAGGTTCGTATCTCAAACTAAGCCATAGTTAATGTTATCAGTTACACCTGATGTTCCCGTTCTGACAAGTCAAAATGCCTGCCGTGAAAAAGGCCAATCAAATCTTGCCAGCAAGCAAGCAAGCTAGAGAGGGTTTGGGAAGGGAGGGATGGGAAAACTGAGTCATAGGGGAAGTGAACAGAAAAGGTGTAATAACTACTTTATGTGTGGAAAACATGATATGTTTAAGCAGTGATCTTTGTTGCTGAATGTAGTTGCAAAACTAATTAAAGTAATTAATTATTTCTGTTTTTTCCTGCTATGGCAAGTCAAAATGTCTGACGTGAAAGAGGCTGGTTAGTGAAGAAGAAAAGGAAAATCAGACATTGTAATCCAGTTTTCCAGGACATGCCATTTGCATACCTGCAGACTACTGGCGCGGCATGTTCCTCTGATTTATCCGTGTTGGGTGGACCTTAAAGGATAGGTTCACAATCTTGACAAGTGTGTTTTGAAACAATACTAACGTGCCCAAATGTATATTGAAATAGTCAGTGATTGCTGTAACTGGTCCTCCTGGCTGTGAAGAGATCCGTTCCTAAAGTGATTTACATGTAAGGTGATGGGGGACAAAATCCACAGTCCTGATTCTGCGTAAAAATGCAATAGGAAGTTCAGCTAAAGCTAATACCAAGCTTCAACAGTTTGACAGTTTCAGTAAAATAAGTTCAGTGCCAAACTCCCTTTTAAAAAATACTTAGTGGGCCTTTAACAAACATATAAAACACAGTATGAAGTGATGGGAGCAAATGGTTTAAATGAGAGTAAGCAAGTAAGTTGTCAACATGCATGTTAACGTCATGTCAATAACATCATCATGTCAACTGCCTCGTGGCGATCACTCGCATGTATAGGCTTTAAATCTTGTTTTTAAGGTACCCCAATAGCACAGTCATTATCTCTGTGTTCCTGTAGAAACCACCTGGCTGTCCTTCAAGACTGAGATGACCACAGATATTGCTGACAGCGACTTTCCCTTATAAAAACTGAAGCAGTGCACTAAATGAGAGTGCAATACCGTGTGACTTTCAGCGTAAAGGCAGTGCGTAGGAGGAGTAACCCAAGCATAAAAGGTGACCATGAGTGCTGACGTAGATGTTTATTTAAGGGCCGAAGCCACAAGCTGCTTAGCAATTCCCTGACAGCCGGTGCAAAATACCATAAATAGTGTAAGTCATCAGCTGTGAGTGGGAATGTTATGACTGAAGATCCCCACCAGAGACATTATGGTTGAGGCCATGATTTATATTAAAATCACTTGGATTGAGACAGTAATGAAAATGAACCTGTTGTTGCCATCCGTTGGAGGACAGCCCGGATATTTTGGTCTGTTTTCACTGATCGGCGTATGAAGGTAACTGCGGCAAGAAGGAGGGCATTAAAACCACTGCATGATTAACTGTTTGCTTACATATAAACACAAATGTGAAATATAACCTGTTAACAGCTCCATGAAAGAAATACAAATCCTGTCAAGAGACCAACCCTAGACACATATTGTCCAGTTTATTCTTCTTGGCTCAAAGACACTCAATACTCATTGTGGGAGGAATTGTGAATTCAGCTCCTTGTAAAGATTTTATTGATTTTAACTGTTGGTGACGCAGGCACATTGATTAAGAACTAATTAATCCGTTGGCCAAACAAACAGCAAGAAGTTTCTCGTTTGATTAAGCAATTAAAAGCCTTTTGACACAAAATACAACAGAGATATGAGAACAAGACGCATGGATCAATAGCAGATGAGGACTGCAACAGCATGGCAGGAATGGAGACAGGGCATCAACAACTACAGAATGCAGTGTCATATATTTTCAGTTGGCACAAATTAGGAATTTTAATAACTTGCTGTAAATGCAAGAATGAAATGTGACGTGGTGTTTTACTGGCTTGCAAACGGGGTATTGCACTTGTGTTGACTTGTCCATACTGTAAATAAAAGTCCATGAAGTTAAGGAATAAAGGAACAGTCTGTATGCTAGCTAGCTTTTTATTGTTGTTTTTTTTTTTTTTTTTTTTTTTTTACAACTTCTCGAGTTGTGAGTTTTGAGGATTAAATGTTTGAAAATCCTGGCATGGGAGCCTGGTTATGTTTTAAAATGGGGGAGCAAACTTTGGAAGATACATAATTGGTGGCAGTGTGGTGATATAATTTAAAACAAATTACATGCATTTCTACACCACCTGGAAAACATGCTAGGGGGCTCTAATAGAGGTTTGGGCGAGGGAGAGAGTGCGGCAGCAAATTAGCCTGAGATATTAACAGTAATTGTACAAATTCACAGCGGGGATGTAGTGGTAACATGGCAGGTGGATAAACTTTACAATATTCCAATATTAGATAATGGTATACTCATAAAAAGGGGAATAAACCCCATGTTGCATTTGAAAAAGGTGGGTAAACTGTGTTTATGAATGTTTTACCTACACTACATCCCAAATGATAAAGTCAACAGGGCTAATACAAAATGTTAAGAACCACACTGTGCTTGGGCATGTCAGTGACAGTACAATCCTATTTTAGGTTAATTTACAATTTGGCTGGAGTCAGCGGGCCAAGCAGGTTTATTCAACACATGCTAGTCTGACTGTATAATGATGTGATTAATGATTTGTTAATAATTAAACAACAGGGATGCATATGCTCCACTTACTCCACTGCTAAGTTGCCTATGCATTCGGGTAGGAAACCCCTGTACTTGCCGGAGAGGGTTCAGTTATTGCTTCTTCTGAGATATGTCTTTGCCTCTGATAGAACTTGGAGAATTTATTGAAGATGTTAGTAATGGGCAGAGCCACGATCAGCAGCCCACAGATAATGCACAGGGTTCCTATCAGCTTTCCAGCAAGTGTAATGGGAACCGTGTCCCCATAGCCCACTGTAGTCATGCTAATGGTGGCCCACCAGCAGCCTATGGGGATAGTCTGCAGCTCTGACTCAGGGGATTCTTTCTCCACAAAGTAAATAAGAACAGAAAACATGGAAATGCCCACAGACAAGAAAAGCACCAGCTGCCCCACTTCACGGGAGCTGTGCTGCAGCGTGGCGCCAAGAGAGCGAAGGCCAGGTGAGTGGCGAGCCAGTTTTAGGATGCGAAACACTCGCATCAACCTCAAAATCTGCACCACTTTGCCAACATTCTCCAGGTCTGTGTTCTCACCTTCATCCATTATATCACAGACTAAAGTGACATAGAAGGGCATAATTGACATTAAGTCAATGATATTGAGAGGGCTGCACAAGAACTTCCTGGCTGATGGTGCAACAGCCAAACGAAGAATAAACTCTGCAGAGAAGCAAAGAACACAGAGGCTCTCAAAGAAATGAAGCACTGGGTTTTCAATCTCCTTCTCATTGACATCCACCTGATGGAAGTCTGGCATGCTGTGGACACACATGGCAACGATAGAGACAATGACCACAGTTAGGGATGCTACAGCCATCACTTTGGCCGAAGTGGAGTAACCTGGATTCTCAAGTCGAATCCAAATATTCTTGCGGACATCTGCACACCAGGAGCCTTCAAACATTTCTATGTCCTCCTCCAAAGCTGACAGCTCCTCAACAGACGAGTCTGAGCTGTGGAGCTGCAGTTCATCACTCCTCTGATCCCAGCACTTATCCTCAGCAAACATCAGTTCATAGAATTTGTTGCTGCAGCAGAAGTCCAGGTGGCGCTCCTTGATGCCCCAATACTCAATCTCTTGAAAAAATGAGACTACGCACAGCCCATCCACCAGGTGGATTTTACCTGTGAGGTAAAAGTTAAGTACGTAGGAGAAAAAACATGGGTTGCGGTCAAAATAGTACTCCATTTCAGAGGGACTGAAGTCGTCGCAGAGCTCCAGGATTGCTTCTTTGGAGCTGCAACACAGAAGGCGACCCAGACGCGTCTGTGGGAATCGTTTCAGAATATTGTGCTCCATTCGTTGTTTGAAACCACCAACATTGACATTAATAAATAAATCATCAGGGCTGTGCCGATGAAGGATCTGTCCATACACCATGATGGAGCAGCTGCGAGATGCTGTTCAGCTGTCTTTGGTGAAAATCTCAGAGGCTTTGTTGCCTGCATACAAAGACAGTGAAATTAGTACTCCTCACACTTTCTCACATGCCATTTGTCAAGCTGTCAAGCATCAAGTTGCATCTGGGTTTCTGTGACACCCTGTAATGTAATGGTTAAATTACAGTATTGTTGGGCAGTTTTAATTTACAACCTAGACAAGTTACACATCATTACAGTAGTCTACAGTATGCATTTGCATGAAATGAACAACATTATTCAATTTTTTGAGTCACATAAAGGAACCCATGCCTTAACACAAGAAAAACTGGCTCATTAAATTGAACATATTTGTTCCCAGTGGCTCAGAGCATTAAACTAATGCTGATGAAATTATAATATTGGTGCACCATTAATGTTTACTATGGTAGACATCTATGATAGGCCTATCTAGACCAACATTTTACACGCAAACATTGACTTAGTTTTCCTCAGTCACTCTGGCTTGAAGCTCTAAAACGAGTAGCACTGTCTTACTTCTATTGTAATGAAGCGTTTTAAATTGCAGTGCCAAGGTCAGATTTGACCCGTTTCTGCCGCACCAAAACTTGTCAGTGTCATAAAAAGTACGTGAAATAAAACAGCCTCTGTGCGCCACTTGCAAGGACGTTGGGAGTTTTGCACCAAATTACCCGAAAACCGTGAAATAAAATTAACTTAGCTAATCAACGTCAACGGTCGCAGTAGGGACTAGTTTATTTCCTGTTCAAGCATCTCTACATAAACTGGAGTAAATTATTACAGCAGCATACCTGAGCATGTTTTGTTCTGGCGGAGCAGGTGTCCTGTAGCTGGTTTACTTTGCTCGGTCCGGAGTGTCCATGGCACATTGCAGTGGTCCTTCCTGAGTCCAGCGCAGGGCGCAGCGCACCTACAGCAGCGACAGGACTGATGAACTGATCACTCATTCTGCTGTCACATCATGCCCAACTAACAGGCTGATTTGTACGACACATTTAAGCTTTGGTATGATATGTTACCAGTGTCCAAGGCCCGCCAGCTCGTTTAAGGTGTGCAAATGTATCTCAATAATGTAAATATTTTATGATTCTTTAGTGCCTACATTATTCTTTAAAGCTGCTTTCTGTTTCTCTTCTTTTCTCATCCTGCTGTGGATTTTATGTGCTGACTTTTGCCTCAAATAATTTAAAACCTTTTGTACAATAAACTGCTAAACTACTAGAACACAGCATGGGTGTATATAAGACATAACAACTACTAAATAAACCATTGGTTGCAAATAAAAACGGGCCTTCAGTACAACCTTTCAAGTACATCATTCATACACACAGTATTTAAGATTATGCACATTATGTTCAAAAACTCAATATTGGTTTGGGGTAGCAGGCATTTACTTTAAAATCTGGATGTACTGGCAATTTTTTATATGTGGACATGGAGTATAATTCACAGAATTCATTCAAAAACCTTAATAACAGAAGGCCTATATTACACAGTACACAAAGTGTATAATGTGAGTAAACTATTCAATATTAGTCAATGTATGTGATATTTAAGACAAATCAAGCTGCAGCAGCACACCAAATCACTCTGTAGTACTATGAACATCAGCAATATAATCTCCTTCTGCAACATATACCAAAAGCATTACAGAAAATATCTTTAAAATATGCTTAAATATGCTAAGTCAAATTAAAAATGACCTTTTATACAATGCCTGCTTATGATGCTGTAGCCTCCTCACTGATGCCATTTTCTGACAGTAGAGGGCGGGAGAAGACTGTATGTGAGGACAATCAGGGTGGACTGTAGAGGAACCTCAGTACAGACTGCAGCGGTGGAGCCATGAGGATATGGTTTTACATTTAATTCATTAAGATTATTTTATGCATTAGAGTTGTGTGAATTATTTACCATCATATGAATGTTGATGGTTATGTTGTTTTTTTTTAAAACCATTTGAGTTCATACATTCATAATTATTCATTACATGTCCGTCTTGACACAGAAATGTAAAGGTTAAAAACTGGAAAATTCCATTTTATCATGATTTAAGAACCATAATAGAGGCAACGTTTCCCTTTGAAACATGTCCTTATTATTTATTTACCAAACTGACCCCTGGGGAGCACGGGACATACCCCACTTAAAGAGGTATTTCATCTGGTTGGATGTATGTAAGACTTCCTCACAGGTCAACACAGATATTTGTTAAGTTCCCACTGTTCCCAAGTGCAGTGATGTCCTCAGTAAACACTACTGATGGTGTGGGTATTGATTGCTAGTTTCCAAGTGAACTAGTTGGCGATAATGGCTTGAAAGCCATCCGTCCTTGGTGAACAGTATTTTCCACATCATACACAGTGGTCAACAATGCAGCATGACATTAAAAGGTCAGCAAAAGGAAATCAGATCAAAATACATTTTAAATTGATGTATTAATGTTTATTCACTGTTTACTTCCATATAAAAATAGTTAACAAAGTAGTTATATTCGTTCATGTATTTTACAACATTTAACTATGCTGTTAAAGACATTTAAATTGAAGCTCACTGAACATTTATTTTGCTGTTTTGACTGCTGTTTAGGTGCTTGTTCTTTTAGCATCGCCATAGCTGAGTTTCATAGTTGTTAACCGTTCAGTTCAACAAGTTTAATGCTTTGATATGTGGTTTTCCCTCCAAAAATGAATCCTTATCCTTATGGGATTGACCTTCATGCTACAGGACTGTGACACAGCGGGCAGCAGTTATATTTGCTGATCTCCTGCTCTAGAGCGCAGTGTTTACACACACCGCACATCCAGAACTGGTACTCCTGGATCGGTACACCTGTCACGATGCATGTGGGTAATTTTCCTTCCGTCCTAAAAGGGGAAAAATAGAATTAGTTGAGAATATGGTGATTTATTAAGGCCCCTATGCTCCTTCTTCCAAAACAGTGCCTTTACACACTTTAAAATAATATGATGATATGATTTTGTAGCCATACAGTTTAGGAAACTAGACATATCATTGTTTGGGGCCAGAGTTTGATCTGAACTCCCTGGTGCCCTCACCCCTCTGATGATCTGTCCAGCTCCATCATGCGGCTGTCCTTTGGGGTGTGCTTGGTGAAGATTTGCAGCGCCAGATCCTCGTAAAGCTGCCGCTGTTCAGGGTTCAGACTCTCTAAGGACTCCAGCTTGATGAAGGCCTGTGAGCAGGTGCCAAAGGCCCGGTAGGCTGCCGAACAAATGGCGAGCAGAGAGTAGATCTCCACCGCTGGGATGATGTCCTCATACTCGCGCAGGTGAAGGGCTTTAAAAATGGAGAGAAACGGTGAGACTTCCTCTCTGTTAGGTTGTATCTATTATAGGAAAATAACTTGACTTCAGCCTAGGTCCCGAGACTCCGAAGTTAGTCAGGCATTGTACAGTTGTTACTGCTGTTGATTCTAAAATGAAATAAGAGCCTGTGTAAAGAGGCTTGTGAGAGCTGTGACAAAATCCATAGTAAGGATACTGATCTAATGAATCAGCACTGACCTACGTATTTACACAAATTATACTGAAGTATTTAATACAATTTAATAATGCAACAAATTCCAGAATATAGTCAACTTCAAAAATGTGTGGAGAGACAACCTGTGGAATACTTAATAAATGTGAAAACTAAATAATAGCTCATGAACTCAACATCTGTCTTTGCATAGTTATGGAAAATACTGTATATTAATTATGACATTATAAGGTCAACTGTCCTACTGTATGTAATTTTGTACCTGTGCGCATTGCGTTCTCCATGTAGCCTTGATATAGCTGCCTCTGAGCTAGCAGAAAGAAGTGATACCCCTCCGCTCCACGCCAGGCATTGTCCACAATATGATTGTCTGAAGAGGTTGAATCTTCCTCAAGCAGCCCAGCAAGTGCAAACGTTGCCTAATTCCAGCAAAAGAAGAATAAATACACTAAACCATATACTGTCCCATACACTAGTGAATGACATACAGCACAGTACATGATGCATATCGATACCTTTTGAAAACAAGCTTGAAAACAAATAAAGAATACATCCATAGTATATATACGGTATGTATGACGTATATTACCTCAGACTTCTTCCCTTTGGCCTTGCTCTGCTGTGACGTCTTCACCTGCTCGTGGTAATTTTCAACAAGAAGTGCTGCCAGCACATAGAGCTTCTTCACTCGCAGTGGTCGGGTCCTTTTCTCCGCCTCCTCATCTGCTATCTGTAACAGCAGCCACAAATTCCATGGTATGTGCCCACAAACATTCCAGCAAGTAATTTGCTCCATATAAGCATAGGAAATATTTATATTTGTTAAAGACTAATCATTTCCCCATGGCTTTCAAATTGCCCAGTATCTAACACAACATAAAAATGTCTGAAATGAGAAGGTTTTAGGTGTTTTCCAGTTTATTCAAATGATTAACTCTGTTAAAAATACTGCTCTAAGGGTGCTGAAGGAAACTGAAAATATTAACAATCACCATTATTATTAAGGATCACACCTCTATCTCAATGTAAAAGCCACATACAACTTGAGGTTTTTCTAGTGAGCATGAAACCAGGACTACCTTAAACATGAGTTTGGCTGCATCAAGAAAATGGTGGGCTTTCCGATACAGTTCCACTGCCTCTAAAGTTTTATTCTTCTCAAGCAGATGTGAAGCATATTTGGAAAGAAGAGATTTAATCTCCTTCATGTTGTGGGTCCTGGCGAGCTCCACCGCTTTGTTCCACTGTAAGAAATGATGACAACATTTCTTCAAAAACAAAATTACAACAGCATTATTTTTGCCTATGGCTTTTTGGCAAATTAATCTGAAATACTAATCACAAAAGTCATTGCTATGTGTGCAACATTTACTTCAATTTAGCTTTCAGTGAAAATCTGCGTCACTAAACTAGTCCATTTTTTGGCTCCCAGTACTCCAACCCTGCTGACAATGATCCATAGCTGCATATCTCACTCATAGTCAAGGCACAACAGTTAGATGGCGTGAAAAAACACTGTATTTTTCAAACATTC